AAGGAAGGTCCCAAGCTCACTCTCTCTCCAGAGAGAGCTGGAAGAGACTCGTGTTTGTCCTTCCTTTCAGAGGATATTTGGGGGATGCGTCGACTTAATTGAAAATGCGCCTGTACCGGCATCAGCTCTTTCGGGTGCCTGGAATAGATGTCATTTATATACAGCGATGGCAACTCCGTTCCCCTTTTGCTTGGAAACATTGGATTCAATTTATATTAATGATCTCTTTATTCACCACTGCAAACTTTTAAATATTTCATGCGATGCAAGCGGGCAGCGAACTGCGTCGAGCGAACAGGGAGGAAGGAGGCGCTCCGCGGCCCTCGGCGTCAATGTGGTCGCGGTGGAAGGAGGGGCCCCTGTCGCTACAAGAAAGGCCAAATCGTCAGGACTCGAGGCGGGAGGATTTCGCCCCGAGGTCGTGGCCGTCTGGAGCTGCCGCACGCTGGGTTTGTTTGACAGCGGGAGCCGGGGACCCAGACGGCGCCTGGGGAGGCTTTTGGCGGCGGAACCAACCCAGTCAAATGGCTCAGCTTTGGAGGAAATGATCGCCCCTTGGACGTGAGCCCTCGGGATCTCGAAAGGCGGGGAAGGGCTGCTGCGTTCCCACGTTCGCCTCCCGTCCCGTGAAGGCTGCAGCCTCCAGTGTATTATGTGGACAAGCCAACGGATCAGGGATCAGTGGTCTCGTCAGGAGATACCCTTTGGCGGGGGGAGAGATTTGGGACCGAAATGAGCAAGACAATAACTCCCACAACTGCTTCAAAACTGACTTGCCAGGTTGAGAAGTGAGGCGAACAGCGTAGTGTAGTGGCTAGAGCGCTGGGCTAGGACTTGGGAGGTAAACGTAAAGGGACCCCTGTCCATTAGGTCCAGTCGTGGCCGACTCTGGGGTTGCGGCGCTCATCTCGCTTTACTGACCGAGGGAGCCAGCGTACAGCTTCTGGGTCATGTGGCCAGCATGACTAAGCCGCTTCTGGTGAACCAGAGCAGCGCACGGAAACGCCATTTACCTTCCCGCCGGAGTGGTACCTATTTATCTACTTGTACTTTGACGTGCTTTCAAACTGCTAGGTTGGGCAGGAGAAGGGACCGAGCAACGGGAGCTCACCCTGTTGTGGGGATTCGAACCGCTGACCTTCTGATCGGCAAGTCCTAGGCTCTGTGGTTTAACCCACAGTGCCACCCGCGTCCCTTAAGACTTGGGAGACCAGGGTTCAAATCCCCACTTGGCCATGGAGCTTGCTGAGCCAGCTGCTGTCTCTCAGCCTAACCTACCTCACAGGGTTGTTGTGAAGATACAGTGGAGAGGGGAAGAGCCATGTAGGTCACCTTCTTGGAGGAAATTTCAGTGAGATACATGTGTAGTAATAACAATATACCCATTGCCATCTGGAATAGTCTTCACCATCCCAGTGTGCTCTAGATGTTTTGGACTACAACTCCCATCAGCCTCAGCCACCTGGTTAGGGCTGATGGGAGTTGTAGTCCAAAACATCTAGAGCACACCCGGTTGGTGAAGGCTGGGAGATGGAGAGCAGCTGTAAGGCTATGGAACTAGCAATCTAAAATCACATAATTTCCCCAACGCTAAATTGTGGAACTAGCTCCCACAGGAGGCAGTGATGAACATTCAGTGATGAATGGATGGCATTCAAAGAGAATTGGAGAAATTCATGGAGGACAAGGCTATCAGTGGGTACTAGCTTTGCTCTCCCTCCCTGGTTAGAGGCAGTAAATCAGGGGTAGGCAGCCTAAGGCCCAGGGGCCGTATGCGGCCCAATCGCTTTCTCAATCCAGCCAGCGGACGGTCCGGGAATCAGCATGTTTTTACATGAGTAGAATGTGTCCTTTTATTTTAAATGCATCTCTGGGTTATTTGTGGGGCATAGGAATTCGTTCATTTTTTTCTTCAAAATATAGTCCGGCCCCCCACAAGGTCTGAGGGATGGTGGACCATCCCATGGCTGAAAAAGGTGGCTGACCCCTGCAGTAAATGCTTATGAATATCAGTTGCTGGAAGCTGCAAAAGGGGAGATTGCCCTTGTGCAATCTCTTGCTTGCGAATTTCCAACATGTTTCTGGTTGGCCACTGTGCAACCAGCAGGCTGTTTCTCCTTCATTGGAGGCTTCTATTATTATTTGTTGTTGTTGTTGTTAGAATTTATATGCCGCCCTATACCTGGAGGTCTCAGGGTGGTTCACAGAAAAGATCAACATAAAAACCACAATATATATAATCAAAATAAAACAACAACCCAATAGCACCCCCCCCCCCAAAGAAGGAGACACATTTTAAAAGGGCATAGGTTTCTAAGCAGAGGTTGGGTGGCTATCTGTCATGGATGCTATAGTTGAGGTTCCTGTATTGCAGGGTGTTGTACTAGATGATGCCTTCCAATTCTACAATTCTATGATTTTTTTCCTAGAGTGGGAAGTTCTTACCCAGGCATAGGCAACCTTCAGTCCTCCAGATGTTTTGGCCTACAACTCCCATGATCCCTAGCTAACAGGACCAGTGGTCAGGGATTATGGGAATTGTAGTCCAAAACATCTGGAGGGCCGAAGGTTGCCTATGCCTGTTCTTACCCATTCTTCTGAGTGGGTCCATAGACTTCTGCCTCACTGACCTGCCAGCATCCTACTTCTCATAATGGCCAATCAGATGCTTCTGATAGAGTATATGCTTATAGACCTCACTCCTCCTCCTCAAGTTTGTTTAATAACCCTCTCCCTCTTCAAGCCAGTGGTTCTCATCACAACCTTCAGCAGGAGAATTTTCAGATGTTTTGGACTACAGTTTCCATAATCCCTGACCACTGGTCCTGTTAGCTAAGGATCATGGGAGTTGTAGGCCACAGTTGTGGTGTGGTGTGAGTCTCAAAGGAAATGCTCTTCAGGGGTGTCACGTTCACACATTCAGCTGGTTGTCACCAATGTTGAGATACCAATGCAGTGTAGGCATGGCTGGTTGATCTCAACAGGACTCTACCTCCTGGGTCTCAAACATCAGACTTTTGCAAGCTGGTGCCTTGCAGAAGGTCTGGAGTCCAAATCACATCAGACCCAGCCAATGGTCAGGGATGATGGAGCTGGAGGGTACCAACTTGGGGAAACCTCCTCCTCACCTACACCTGTGTCACTGTGTATCATAGGTATGGATCTGGAACTTCCATATCTGGATGCTTAAGGAGACAATCCTATGTTTCTGATTTTACCAACTGGTGGTCAGTCAAAGGTGCTTAAGCTTACCTGAATGGTTCCTCAATCCGAAAAAGCAAACAAGAATTGTATGTTCATTGGATGTGTGTGTGAACAAGTATGATGCCTGAATGTCCAAGGGACCTTTTGGATCAGAAGGTGGTATGGAGGGTGGTACTGCCAGTCTCCAAAGAAAAATTAGGAGCTTAGATGGAACATAGGAATCTACCTTATACCATTCTACATTATCCCATTCATGTATCTTGCTCAGTATTATCTACACTGACTGGCAGCCTCTCTCAAGGGTTTCGGGCAAGAGTCTTTCTCTCAGTCCTATCTGAAAATGACACGGATTGAACCCGGGGCTTCTGCACACAAAGCAGATGCTCCATCATTGAATTATAAAAAGGTAAAGGACCCCTGACCATTAAGTCCAGTCGTGACCAACTCTGGGGTTGCGGCATTCATCTCGCTTTATTGGCTGAGGGAGCTGGCGTACAGTCATGTGGCCAGCATGACTAAGCCACTTCTGGTGAACCAGAGCAGCGCACGGAAACACCATTTACCTTCCCGCTGGAGTGGTACCTATTTATCTACTTGCACTTTGACGTGCTTTCGAACTGCTAGGTTGGCAGGAGCTGGGTCTGAGCAACGGGAGCTCACCCCGTTGCGGGGATTCGAACCACCAACCTTCTGATCAGCAAGTCCTAGGCTTTGTGGTTTAACCCACAGCACCACCCGCGTCCCAATATCACTGAATTATAGCCCTTCCCAAATGAATAAAGAGATTTACTTTGGGAGTGGGTGATGGTGGTGTGGTTGGTAAGCATTTCTCAGTGGCCGTGCTAGAAGCACCCATAGAAAGCTGGAGCCTACAGAGGGAAAGGTAACCCCCAAATGTCTCAAAACACAGAAGGAAGACTGAAAGGTTATTCCCCCCTCCATGAGAATTAACAGAAGGAGGGTGCCATGCCTACTATTTACTCCAATGAAGTTCCTTTATAGCAAAACTTCCATGGTTCAATAGAAAGCACTTGCACACACTACTGGAAACTGATTGAGGCAGCCCTCCCCAACCTGATGCCCTCCAAATGTCTTAGACTACAACTCCCACCAGCCCCGGCTAGCACTACCAATAGTCAGTGGTCATGGGATTTGGAGTCCAGCCGGAGGTCCACAGGTGCCCCGTTCCTGCTGAAATGCAGGTCTACAGGTGCTGTCCAAAATTTGAATGCTGAATGACTCCTTGTTCTGAGATCTGTCGGACACTTTCTTCCACCACCAGATATTGTTGGACTCCAACTCCCAACAGCCCCAGCCAGCACAGCAGATGGTCACCAATGATGAGAGTTGTAGTCTGAATCATCTGGTGAGCACCAGCTCGGAGAAGGTTGGGTTTGGGCTTGGGGATGTGGAGGGGATGTCCTCAGTGGGGCACTGTCAGCTATACTTATTTTTGTCCTCAGCAACTTGTGCATCCCCAATGGAAACAAGCAAGCTTGGATATGAGAGACCTAAATTCAGTAGAGAATCTGGGTTTCTGGACAGGTCACACACATAGCTGTGTGCACCAGTTGCAGGTGAACGTGTGAACAGGTGGCAATCCAAAATATCTGTTCAATGTGATGTCATGTTATTCTTTGTTTATTACATTTATATACCACCTTTCTTCCATCATGGAACTCAAGGTAACATACATGGATTCCCAAATGGAAGCCTTGATAGCTCAGTTGATAGAAAGAGCATCAGACTTTTAAATTATGGTTCAAGTCTTTGTTTGGGTGGATTCTGTTTTGGGAAGATCTGTACCTCAGTGGTAGAGCATCTGCTTTGCATGCAGAAGGTCCCATGTTCAGTTCCCAGTAGCAGATCCAGGTAGGGCTGGGAATGTTCCCTGCTTGAAATCCTGGAGAGCTGCTGCCAGTTAGTGTAGGCAGTCCTGAACTAGATGGACCATGACTTGGTATCAGGCAGCTTCCTATCCTATCTTTCTAAGTGGTCTCCTGTCCAAGAAGCATCCAGACCTCATACCTACATAGCTTCCTCAAGGTGGCTTCCCAAAGCACCTTCAAACCATATCCGAAGGCAATTGGCAGTAGAAATAACAACAGAAGAACATGAAATTCCAGCTGGGTGAAGGATTCTGCCTTGGCTCACCGTCACATTTCAAACTTGATTAAAATCTCAGCAATACTTACACAGGCAAAGAGCAACCCTGAACATATAGTCTATATTGTCTTCTTCAACCTCCCCAGACATTCTTGGACTACATCTCCCATCTTCCCTGCTCATCTTAGATCAGGGATGATGGGAATTGTGGTTCAGCAATATTAGGGAGCCCAAGGTTGATGAACACAGAAGTAGACAACATCATAGTGACTTCCATTTGAAAAGCACAGCAATACATAAAAGGGGGCAGAAGTTACGTGAAACTTCTGCCTGACCCATGATGGCTGTTTCTCACATTAATATAATAATAATAATAATAATAATAATAATAATAATAATAATAATTTACTATTTATACCCCGCCCATCTGGCTGAGTTTCCTCAGCCACTCTGGGCGGCTCCCAATCGAGTGTTAAAAACAATACAGCATTAAATATTAAAAACTTCCCTAAACAGGGCTGCCTTCAGATGTCTTTTAAAGAGAAGATAGCTGCTTATTTCCTTCACATCTGAAGGGAGGGCGTTCCACAGGGCAGGTGCCACCACCGAGAAGACCCTCTGTCTGGTTCCCTGTAACCTCACTTCTCGCAATGAGGGAACCGCCAGAAGGCCCTCGGAGCTGGATCTCAGTGTCCAGGCTGAACGATGAGGGTGGAGACGCTCCTTCAGGTGTACAGGACATTCAAGCATTCACACGTTGTTGGAGTCACAGATACGAAATCAAATTCACTCGGTCTTTTTCAAATTGCTCCCACCCCTGGTATAAAAATCAGGAATTCAGTAATATACAGAGGTGCTATGAGATCACAGAACAATGATTGCAGAGGGCTGTCCAAATCAGTCCTAGAGCTGATTCACATGTGCATGTCCATCACTGACTGCATCTCCACCCGATGACTTTATACGTGAGTGAGCTGTCTTAAACAAGCACTACATCCAGACTTTCATATGCCCCCAGATCGCTTTAAATTCAATCCTCTCCAGTGGAGTTAGTTCACACATTGAACTGTCAGCCGTCAAGTGTCTCCAGCTCCTAAATCATGAGAGATCTAGTGATGTAACATGCACCTGTGGACTAAATCACGGCTGCCTCCCTCAAATATTTAAGCTTTGCATCGTTATTCTCGTGGAAGGATTCAAGTTTAGACATGAAATGAACCCTTCATTCAGGGAACGCTATCAGGATAAATTAAATCATTTGCTGCCCTTCATTGTTGCTGTATCCAAGGCCTTGCTGTGTAAAGACTGTGTGCTCACCTTGTCCAATGGCAGAGCCGGCTCTGAAATGTGTGGCGGCATAATTGTGGTCCACAGTGACCCCAGAGCTAAGAATGGAAAAGGCTTCCTAGTGCATCTGGCACACTGTTGTGAAACTGACTGGCATTGGGGTGGGCAGGCAGTGGCCTTGAAAGTACCTGTAGTTTCCGGGAAAGCAGGTGACAAGAATATCAGGAGCAAACATTCAGAAGTGGAAGACGGATCCAGCTAGGCAGATCTGGGATCCTGTCCCCCATCTTTTAAAGAACCAAGATTACCTGGAGAAGCTGAAGGAGACTTTAGTACCTCTGCTAGACTCGCTGCTAGAGGCTCACCCCTCTCGCTTCTTGCCCTTCGGGAACAGGGTGAGATGTTGCTAAAAGGTATTCTGATTTCTGACATTCCCAAAGAGAGATCAGTAACCTGCCAGTCAGACTGCCCATGCTCTCCCTCTCTTTCTTTATCTGGCTCATGTAAACAAGATGATCCCTGAAGGAAGGAGCACTTCATGCAGTTACACAAAGAGGAACAGTTGTTACGTTATGGACCCAAAGTCCATATTCGGGTGATACCTTTCTTAGGCCAAGCTTAATGTCCTATAATAGTAGGCCAGCTTTCAAGTTCCTCAGAACTCTTCCTCATGTTACTAGATGCTTTTTTTAAAAGTAAATGCGTGGGGGGTGGGGTGGAATAAGGCTGTTGGTATTACCTAAACCATCCAGGTCTACAATAGCCACTGCTCTCTTCCTCTGTCTTAAAAAAAAGTAGCCTGCTGAAGAGTGCTGTGGAACTCAGAAGCTTGCACACTATTATGTAACATTTTGCTTGGCCGCAATATGGATTCATATGGGCTTTTGACTCCTGTGGAGCATAACAGTCATGACAGCGTGGAAAAAAGAATCTATTTTGTATTAGGATCATAGGAAGCTGCCTTATCCTTGAGGTCAGGTCTTTGGCCTGTCTAGCTCAGTATTGTGGCTCTCTGGGTTTCAAGCAAGAGTCTCTCCCAGCCTGGGGCATGGAACATTCTGCATGCCAAGCAGATGCTCTACCTCCAAACTATGGTGCTGCTTCTGAAAATAAAATTTCCAGTCCTCATGCCTCTGGATACAGGGCTGAATTGCGTGGGAAGCTTCCATGCATCGGGTCAAGCCTACATTGTCTACACTGACTGGCAGCGTTTCTCCAGTGACTCAGACAGGGATTCCTCGCAGCCCTACCGGAGGATTGAAACTGGAGTCTTCTGCATGCTTCGCGGCCCTTCCCTCGCCCCCCTTTCCTCCTTCATTTTTGTCTTCACCCGCATTTAAAGCTTCTAGGGCAGAAACAAACACACAAAAGGGGAGGCAATCGATTCACGTTTTCTCTCCCGCATCTATATTGGGGGGAAATGGGGCCAGGCTAGAGGGAGAGGCAGAGGCTTGCAACAGACTCACTAGCCCACTGGAAGCCGCTTCCCCCAAACTTTCCACTGCCCTCTTGGTTTCTCGCTCCAGCAGGAAGGAGGAATGGGACCCAAACCAGCCCTGGCTGTACTGTCAGTGGCTCCTAGTCTTGGGCGCAGGAGACGGGCTGCGAGATGGGACTCAGCTGACGGAGGACCGAACGTGCCTCGCTCTATCCGGACACTGGACCCACCAGAAGGATCGGTTTAGCGGGATCGCTTGCACTGTACATACAACACACACCCTATAGAGGCAGGGTTGGAGCTGGTGATTTGCAGAATTGTTATATATAGGATCCTTTTGGGATGGGGAAGGGGGTGATCAAAGCGCTTGAGCCAGTCAGAGAGGCAAAGGCCACGCTGATCTGAGGCTTGACTCCGCGTCGCTCTCCCTACGGGGATGAATGTAAACCCTTTCCTTTCTACGGAAGGCAGAGGGAAGCGGCTGGACCCTAAATCTGCACAGCGCAGCCCATGAGAATCACGTCTACTCATCTGCGCATAACCTCATCCAGGTCGAATTTCTGGAGCATTGCAGAATGGGACAGAATGACGGGAGCCCGTGTATGTGTGTATGTGTGTGTGTGTGCGCTCTCACTACCACTGAGGCCATTTCTTAGCTGAGTCACGAATTGCAATCCATAGGCACATGGGAACCTGCTTTGTCAGTATAAAGGCCATCGGCCCATCTAGTTCAGCACTGCCCACTCGGACTGGCAGCAGCATTCCAGAGTTTCAGGCAGGAAGCCTCTCTACACATGCTGGGGTTGAACCCGGGAGTTTCTGAAGACCAGGAAAGCACAACTTCTGAGAGGGGCAGTCTGAGTTAGAGAAGGACTCGACAGGATAGTTCAGGCCTGTTTGTTTGGCGAGGAGTCTGCATAACCTTTACTCATCCAAGGCACCGATTGCCCCACCAGCTGGGAGCGGCTCCCCAGGGGCTCAGGCGAGGTCCTCTCCGAGAACCACCTGGAGATAGGCTCGAACCTGGAACTTCCTGCATGCCAAGCAGACGCTCTACCGCCGAGCCACGTCCCTTTCCTGAATTCAGCGAAAGCTTTTGCAGAGCCCATTGGCTCTGCATTCTTTGGAGGATGACGGAATCGCTAAGTTCTATGGGATGCAATCTGTGGCACAGCTGAACACATACGAAGCTATCCATCTGTGCAACTGGCGGCTCGCTGCTGCGCGTGCCTTGCGAGTCCAGGGCGAGTCAACCAGACAGACTCGTAGCCACGGTGTAATAAGCTGCTCTCTCTCTCTCTCTCTCTCTCTCTCTCTCTCTCTCTCTCCCTCTCCCTCTCCCTCTCCCCATATGTTCTGGGGCGCGAGGGAAAGAGGGCAGCGTTTCCCTCCCTCTCCATTTCCCGTTTCTGCCAGCCTTTTGCAGCCCAGCTGGGGGGTGGGCTTGGGTAGGCCGCCCTGTTGGCTCGACTTCATTCAAATGCAATCAAGGATCTTTGGCAAAAGCTCCGCTGGATGTCGAACAATAGCCGCCTTGATTGGCAAGTTCCTCTGTGTTTATCATTAATTCTGTGGAACTCTACGGCAACATCTGTCATTTTAATTAAAGCTGCAATACAGACACCGGGCTAAGCATCGTACGCCAATGTATAGATATCATATATATGTATTTGGGCAACAACCGAGAACCCACCACACGCAAGACATTTAGAGGGAGACATAAAACGCAGCCGGGAGCCACCGGACCCAATCGGGGGCTGACCAGCTGTCCGTGTCTCAACTTTGGACCGTCCATCACCAAGAACCCCTCTTTCCTTCCGCACGATTTCACCGCCCCCAGCAGAATCGATTAGGGGAAAGGGGAAACTTTGCCAAGGACGAGAGAGGATTTTAAAATATCTATCTGTGCTTTTTCGTCTTCTTTTTTTTAAACAGGCTATAACTCTCCTCTGGCCTCGTTTCAATCAGCTCTGCCTATTGCTGGCTCAATGTACGCAGGAGAGGATGTGAAGCCCGTCTCTGGACTGGAAGGAGAGCGGCAGAAGGAGGTCTGCGCGCGCGCTTCTTAGCTAGCGGGGCCGTTAGGGCCGGACTTTGGGGCAGATGTCCAGGTCTCCATTCAGCAGACTGGGGAGGGGGGGAGGCGGTGCTCATGCGCAGCAGGGCCGGCTCTTGCCACATTTTTAAGCAAGGGAGGAGGTAAGACTTCGAAGCATTTAAAGTGGATGATGGGGGTGAACAAGGCCGTGATCCAGAGTGTAACATGCACCGGGGAATTTAATCAAGACGAGGTGTGTGTCGGGTCGACTGCAAAAAGGAAGCCCATATTTACTTATTTATTTAAATAAATTAAATTTATTTATTTATTTATTTTGTTTTGGGTTTTTTTTTAAAGGGCGCGTGAGGAGTGTTGCATGGGAACACCTTGAGCTCACAGCAAGTTGCCAAGGTGAGGGGAATGAGCGGTCCTCTGAGCGGCTGGGAAAGCAGCGATCCTGGGACACAAGCCCGATTCTTGAGCCGCTTCATTCATTCTTACAGGGGGAATGAAGTGGCTTGAGAACAGCTGAAGCTTAAACGGATTGTGGATCGAGGCTGACTGGCCATCTGCGGATGGCGGTTGGAGCGGTGTGGAAATGAATGAATATAGGTCAGTCGTTAATTTCCACACCGAGTGTCCTTTGGACGCTTTTTCTAGTGGCTTTAACCCACCCGTATTCGACCCAACTCGGTTCAGTCACCTGGCTTACTCGGCAAGGAGCGCGATTCACACTGGACGTGCTCAGAGACACACAGACCTGGAATTACTACATTCCTAAGCAAGATCAGCTTGGAACCTAAACATTCCTGGAGGACAGAGAAAGGAAACGTTTGCGTTCAAAGTCTGCGGGCGGAGTGGGGCGGAGAGACAGAGAGAGCGGGGGAGGGGGTCTGTTCATGCCCTCCTATGAGCTTTCCAGAAGTGTCTGGCTATCCATTCTCGGTGACACAACATTGGGGTGGGGGCTTGTTTCTCGTGTTGGATCAGGTTCCGGAGCACAGTCATAGGTGAAGTTAAAGCCTGATGCTAATCAAGGAAAGTCCATTAAAGAATTTTTAAAAATCTAAAGCAAAATACATTGTTACTACTATTATTATTATCATCAGTATCATTTCCCTCCATTTATACCCTGCCTTTCTCCAGTCCTGAAACTCAAGACGACGTGCATGTGGTCTCCTGGCTCCCCCTCATCCAGACACTGCCCAGAACGAGAGCGGCTTAGCTTCAAGGAAGGAGATGGCCTCGCGAGCCTTCAGACCCGGGAAATCTAGCCGACAGGACTCGAGAGCTAAGCTCTGGGAGTGCCTCATTCTCTTGGTCTCTCTCTCTCTCTCTCTCCCCCTCCACTTTGACAATCAGGGTCATTAATCATTTTCGACAAGTTCTACAGCCACCAGTAAACAGCTTTATCCAAGGCGCAAGTTAACCTGTCAGGGAGATTTCAAGCGACGGTTCGGAGCCAGTCGCCCGGGCAAAGAAACACACATACTTGCGGGGCCCTCCTTCACCCTAGGAACACTTCCTCTTCTTTTTTTAACCACCAGTACCCTCCCGAGTTTCTAGGACAGACGCCCGTGCGCAACAACCTCAGGACCCCCCCTCCCCCGCGACCAACCGAGGACGTCTCATCCACCCAGCAATTTTTTGATTCCGGGCTGACACCTGGGTCGAACTGTTACGTCCGACAGTCCCGATGCCTTTGAGTTGTAGACGAAACCGGCAGTAGTGCCTCGATCTAGCCGGTTCCTTCCCCTTTCCAGAGACACCGGGATTGCAAGGTTAGCTGGGGGGCAGGACGGCTCGTCGTCCCCCGTCCCCCCCGCAACAGTTGCATTAACTTCCCATTAAGGGACGAGGCTACTTTAGGACTTAGAATGGGGAAACCGGACGCCAAGAGAAGAAGGGTGGGCGTCGAAAGCAAGAGCGAGAAAGGAGAAAAGTGAAATATTTGTACTGTGGGGATTAAAGTGAACTACCTTTAAGAGAAATTGGGAGAGCGGTCGAGAACGGCGGAGTCTTTTATTCTCATCGGGGAGCTGTCCGCTCCCCGCTGGTGCTGAAACCGGCCCACTTCGCGAAGAGTCTCTGCGCGCTTGGGTGCCAGCACCTACAGAGCAGCTCCTCCCTCCCTCTCTCTCTCCTGGTTCCCTCCGGGGGTGGGTTGGGGAGGAGTGGGGAGCCTTGGTTAAGCTCCCAGCTCGCCCCAGCTGCACCCAGAGCCGCCCTGCACCCCAATGTCCCAACCAGCCCACGGCAAGGCGCAGAAAAGTTTTGGGCGACCCGCAGAGAGTCAGGCGCCACCTTCCCAGCTTGTGTGTCCAAGGAGGCAAGTTTGGACCCAGAAGGAGAGGAGAGGTTGCGGGGGGACCCCGAACCCTTTATTCCACCCCCAACACATTCCGTCCATGGAGCGTCCAGGAAAGGTTCAGGGTGGGAGTGGGAGAGCAGCACAGAAAGGCTTAGCACTGGAAACATCTGTCACGGGATGATTGGGGGGGAGAGAGAATCCAGGGCAAGGAACAGAAGTGGCTGGAGGCTGAAGATGGTGTGTGTGCTGTTTGTGCGTGTTTCAATCTGCAAATGAATGCCTAGAGTAGGTGGGTTTGGGCGGCGTGTGCCCCTCAGATCTGGCAGAGAGGAGATCCACGGGGGACCCATCCTGCACCCCCTCCTCTCTGCTTAAGGCAATACTACTCATAATCCTAGCGGTTGACATCTCCCGTTCAGCTATTGCGGCGCCGGTGGAGGTTGCGGGGGGGGGGGGAGAGAGAAAGACGAGCTATATATATATCTATACACACACACACACCTTCCGAGCTGAAGCCGGAGCTTCGCCCCCCGCCAGGCTTACCTACCTGCCTCCGGCATGGAAGGAAGAAGGAAAGGAGCGGCTCTCCAGCCCCGACGCCCTCTTGAAGCACGACTGGGAGGACCCGATGGGCGGCCAGCCTCGCTCGCTCGCTCTCCGGTGCTGCGCCTCCGCCTCTTTGCTCGCTCGCTCGCTCGCTCGCTCTCTTGCGCGCTCCCTCTCTCTCTCAGCTCCCCTCCCCAAGCGTCCTCTCCCGGCAGGCAGCCTCTCTCTGTCCCCCTCCTCCTCAGACAAATCCTTTGGCGGCCTGAGAGAGAGAGAGAAGGAGCGAGAGCCGCAGCTTCTCCCTTCGGCCGCCCTCACTGCGTCAAGGAGCCGGCAGAGAGCTCGCCACCATCCCGGTCGGAGGCGAAGCGAAGGAGCCCGACCAGTCTGTGGATCCCGGAGCGCCGCCTCGCCTTGAAGGATTCCCGGGAGACGCTGAGGGTGGGGCGGGGGGAGATCAGAGCTGGAGGGGGGGGCAGTCAGCCTTTCTCTCTTCCCTCCTCCTCTCAGTTCTTCTTCTTTCTCTCTTCTTTTGCTGTTGGAGAGGCCCCAAGGGGGAGGGGACGGCCGCCGCTTACGGAGAGAGTCAGGCAGCGGGAAGAGCGAGCGAGAGATTCCGTCTGGTTGCAAGCCCGATCAAAGGTTTAATGTAGGAGTCCACCGAGTGGGAAGGCGGTGGGGAGGAGGGAGGGGCTGAAGAGAGACTCGTGTGTGTGTGTGTGTGAATGGATGGGTGGAAGGGGAGGGGAGGAAGAAGAGGGTGTGTGCAGCTCCTTCGCCGGGGAGATCCAATGGAAGTTAAAGCCTTCGAAGCGTCTCTGAGCTGATTGTTTGGCGAGGAGAACCGAACCGTCAACGGGAGGCAGCAGCGGAGCCAGCGAGCAAATCGCCTTCCACGGGGAAACCCCCCTCCCCCAATCCGCGACCCCCCCCCCCGTCCTTCCTTCCTTCCTTCCTTCCTTCCTTCCTTCCTTCCTTCCTTCCTTCCTTCCCCTATTGAATCAGTCACTCCAACGAAGAACCGCTGCAAACTTGGATTATTATATTTTTTAAAAGATTCTTCAGCCAGGCCTTCGATATCTCTCCAGCTGAATATTGAGGATGTGGGGGAGGAATAGGGGAAAGGAAACAATAGACTGAGGGAGGCAGTGCACGCGCGCACACGCACACACGCGCT